GTTTCCTTACAGTGTGAAACAATTTTGTTTGACGTGGATTTCCCCTCCTCCCCCTCCCCACCCCCAGGAGTTGAGGAGCCAGAAGCAGAAGATTGTCTCAGAGAGGGAGCGACTCCAGGCGGAACTGGATCACTTACGGAAGTGCCTTGCGTTGCCTGCAATGCATTGGCCTAGGGGTTACTTTAAGGGATATCCTAGGTGACGGTTTCCCTTGCACTAGGCCGAACCTATAGTATAGAAATATTATCTATTTTATTACCTTGAATATTTAATATTTTTCACTGGGAGGTTTGAAGCTTAAAGAAAAATAAGAATGTGCCATGCATGAAGCAAAGGATTCCAGGCTCCAGAAAAAGAACGAACTCGCCTTGACTTCAATGCAATTGAATCACCTTTGTAATTCAGCGAGCAACCAATGTAGGACGAGGCCCATAATTTTTTTTTAAGGCAGTTTTATTCTTTGTTCCCCCGTCACTCTCTTTTAATCTGAAAATGAAAGCTCCATTACCAACACTAAAACTTTGTCAGTTATGGCCCCTGGGTGCATAAGATTGGATCAAACCGCTTGAGTTCTGGTTCTTGTGTTGCCATATTACTATGCCTCAAGACCCAAGTTTGCTTTGGCTGCAGCGTGGGGTCGGTCTCCTTCCTCTCCGGGACTGAGACCTGCTTCACTTGAATGAAAGCGGGGTGCATTTTACATAAAGGGCTTATTTCAGTTACTTTTCTGCAAAATTTTCTTCAAAGCAACAGGTCCTAGGAGCACACAAAGCAACAGTACTGAAGCCTCACCCACAAGCTTTTCCCTGGAAAAGCTCTTACCTAAAGATAAAGTGAATTGACAGACTGAAGGTACCTTTTTATTACTCTGTGGGGGAAATGTACAGAGCTCTATGTATACATATATTCACACCCACCAAATTGTTGCTGCAGTGGGGGTGTTTTCATACAAACAAATTTTGAGAGAAAAGTCAAAGGTGCTTCAGCCTTGTACTGTGTATATATATTAAAAAACAAAGTTTTGTATGTTTTTATTACTTTAATTATTGTTATAAAAAGCCTGCCATTTTTAATATGTGGTTTGGGGGGATTTTTGTTTGTTTTCCTGTTTGGGGGTTTCGTTTGTTTTTTGTTTTTGTTTTCTGGGCAAAAAAAAAAAAAACAACTTGCTTTTAGTGTTTGTACTGCTGCTGGTCAGGACATTAAAATATTGAAGTGTTTTTAAAAATTAAAGAAGAAGAAAAGTAAAAGAGCTTACCACTGGCACCTATGCGATCACTTCATTTTTGAGTTGCACCAGAAAACGATGTAGAAAGCCATGAGTCACTTCTTACCTCCTCCTCTGCCCCCACCCCCCGGCTCTGGACAGCAAATAGCAGTTATACCCAGTCGCTATTGAGGAGGGGCTAGTCTGTGGTGGACAAGACAGATACTGTGGGTGCACCTATGCGTGCGCATATAGACATGGGGCTTTTGTAAAAGAAAGAACCTTCAGGAATTGAGCGGTTTCTGTGATAGAATTCTGAGGTCTTACAGCAGTCTGAGAACAGGTGCAAAGTAGAAACTTTAGAGGCTTTATTTAGATGCAAAGCTTTGTAAAAGCCTAAAAGTAGGGTAAACAATGTCTGAGCTAAACTTCTCCTCCTTTTGAACTGACTGTGACAAGCACAGGAGCAGCTAGAAACTGGGATAATCAGATCAATGCAAAGCAGTGGGGGAAATTTTCTTTCTTGTCCCAGTTACTGCTCATTCAGGCAGGGTTTAATCTAGATAAGAAAGTATCTCTTGCCCAAATGGGCTTGAACCAGAGGCCAAAGCAGCCTAGCCAGTGGTTGGTCTGCCAGGGGGGAGGGGAGGAGGCCTGAGCATCACACCTCCCCTTTGCCCAGGGGAAAGTCTGGCTGACCTTCACGAAGGCTACTCACTGCGATCAGTGGCCGCACCCTCAGCCCCAGACCTTAGCTGTGCAGAACAGCTTGCTGGCAGATGGCATTGTGTCGCTTTATCTGTTCCCACACAGTTTGCTTTGTATGTCTGCCAAGAATCTTCCAGTTATTAGCAAACTCAGACAAAAAGTGCCGCCAGTATTATCAGCAGTCAACAAGCGCCTTCCTCTCCACAGAAAGACTTGACGAGACTAAGGGCTGTTCTGTGGGCCTCCTCCCCTGCAAAGACATTGAGAGATCAACATGGTCCACAGGTGGGGACAGGTGTTTAGAGGGAGCTCTATTGCCAACAATCAGGGCAGAATGTCACTGACTTTCTCTATTTAAAATCTGCTTGCTGTTTCTGGTCTGAAAGCTTAAGAGTTACATCTTAGCGCTTCACTCTCAGTCCTTCTCCATCACAGAAAATGTCTGGATACTTTGACTAATCAGCCTTGTTAATGGCCTTGGCTAAAGTGAAAAATGTAAATCTAACAAATTGATGGGAACGGCCCATCCCTTCAGCCGAGGGGACGCTCCCTGGGCTGGGTTTGTGGTGTTACGGGAGGAGGTCAGCACGTGGGATAGGGGAATATGCCATTGCAGGGGAGGCCTCTGCCCAGGGGTGGAAGCTGTGTCACTGAGCTAGTACTGCTTTTCCCCCTTCTGATTGATTGAAAACACCACCTTTACCTTGCCTTTGAGCTTCCCTGCCCCTCTGCCATACCAAACTCTCACCCATCTCTGGAGATCTCTGAATATTCTTGGGCTCAAGAAGTGAATATGACAATCAGAAAATATAAATATAAACCAGAAAGACAGCATTAAACTAAGAAAAAGGTAAGAAAGTGTCTTCTGAAAACAAAAGTGCACCACTCTAAGACACAGTACCCGATAATGGTTTTTCCATCCAATAATTTTATCTGAAAACACTTATTTTCAAATGATTCTCAAAGAACACGGTAGCATCTAAGTTTCTTTTCAGTTTGGGCTTAACAAAAATTGACAGGTACGCACTCTCCGAAGTTTTAAAGTATACCAGATTTGCTCTAGAACTGATTTTGCAACCTCAGTGTCAGTATTTTTGTGAGGACCTCAGTCCTTCATGACCTCGTGTGCTTCCTACAGCACCTGGAGGAGACAGCTGCCATCTGTCTTCTGAAGGGGGTTTCACGAAACTTGTGAGGGACACCTTCCAAAGCTGAATAATGTGGTTCCACATTTACTCAGATCTTTAGAAACAAACCAGAGCTTTCCCCCAAACTTGGCACTATACAACCTGATCATTTGAAAATGGCTTGTTTTTCTGTTTCGTATAATCAGAGCCAAACTGATGTGAAAAAAATTATCATGATCTTAATCTACTGTCTCAGATAACCAAGATAAGATTTTCAACAGTTTAGTCTATATTCTAAAGGAAATAAAACAATTGGCGTTAATATTCTAATAGTAATTACACCCTTAACAAAATTCAAAGAATATTCAAAGGAGCCCACACTTCAGCAGCAGAGAATTATAACAGCAAATCTTAAGCTTGTACATGGAAGGGCTGTTTCCTCAAGTAGCTCACGATGCTGCCAAATCTCGAAAATTAAATCAGATATTCCCTTTCCCTCTGAGCCATGTGTTTTAAAGTGTAGAAAATTCCAAGGATCCACCACAAGATGGAGATGGTCAGCACAGGCCAATTCTGTTACTCTTAAATAAGTGTATATTAGCCACTTAGCAACAATCCCTATACTCTTTCAAGTAACCATGCTATTGACTTCTTTACTACTTGCAGTAGCCTGTCCCCAACTTTCTGATCCAGCGCTTAACTTAAACTCCTTAACTCTGCCTTGACCTGAGGAAGACCATGCTAATTGGTTGTGTTACTTTGTATGTACCCTGTGCTTAATTGCTAGAACAGTAAACCAGTACATGGGAGGGAGGAGGAACGGTGCCTCGGTCACTCTGGGGGCAGTTTAGATGCTGTGAAATTAAACCTGTTCTAAGTGTACTTGTTTGAATTAATTGTATTGTAATATTATTTGTTGAATGTAGTAATTAGGTATTTATGAATATATTGCTGTAATTTCTGACAACATCCAAAAAAATAAAATCTTCCTAAATCATGTTAAGAGGAAATTTTTTTTTGTTATAATAAAACAAAGCGAAATTTAAAACAAAAAGTTCAACAGCTATATAGATTTACATGTAAAATGTGAAGGCAGATTCAACTGCACCTCAGGTTTTAAGGGATAGGTATGCATTCAGGGGTGAGATCTGAGATACACAGGACTCCTGACCCTCTACCAATAATATGTGGTTTCATTCCCCAGATTAAATGTGAAAGACCGAGTAAGAGTCAGATGAAAAAGCACATCCTGTCATCTGAAAGCAACCTTCTAAACTATCACCGTAAATGATAGAGACCAGGTCTCTATCCCTGTGTCCTAATCCTTCTGTGTTTAGCCCTTCGATGTTCACATAGCCATCAGCTGCTTGTTAGAGGGACATCTAGACAGCAATTTGGAATGGAGAAAACAGTGCTCAAGGAACTTGAAGTCTGGACTTTAAACACTGAAGGGCAAATATTCTCCGGGCTGTTGATCATGCAAAAAGCCGACAAAGATAGCATGCTACTACTTTTGACCAATGATGCTACAGTTGAAAACCAGCTGGTTACAGAAACTTCCACTCACTATATGACTCTTTAGACAACCATCTTTGCCCCTCTCAAGGTAATGTAATTTCTATAAGGAAGTTATTTAGCACTTCCAAATGTTCTAATTGAAAATTTTTTCTCTTAAAGAATTTACCCTGTTTGAGCCACTGCTACCTATAACAGTCCCCAAAATCCATCAAGAGCAGCGTTACAGGTCCAACTTTTCTTCAAAGCATTGTGTTTTCAGCTTCACTTAATAACACGGTATTAGTTTTTGCCTGACTTTCCCCTTGATAAGAAACCCTTTAAACCTTAACCAGAAGTAGCCAAGAGAACAAGAGACACCAAGTGTTTGTCTGAAGTTAATTATTTTAGCTATGTGGCTTGCTCCTACTTGATAGCAGAGGAGGAAAAAACCAACAGAGAGATTGGGTTGATTCCATCTTTATTGTGTATCAGGGCTTACATGAGCAACACCAGTCAACATCACTAGCCACTCATCTGCTATCCTTCTCTGTGTGACCAGCCTCTGTAGAGTCTAAGTTTAGCCCAAGACATCAGGATCAAGAAAGAAAAAAGCCCTAGGCCACATCACCGCTCCTACTGTATCTTTTCAAAGTAACACCTAACATCACTGAACATTCACCCACACATAACAGTTCCTTCCGTACAGGAGACCTGAGGCTCTGCTAGGGAGAATCACTTGTTTGCCAAAACTTTTCCTTCTCCTACAAAAGAACAGCTGGCTTCTAGAGACAGATGTGGAATTAAAGGATATCTCACGGACTAAGCACAAACGTTGCTTTCCAGCTATGTTATGAATCCATTCCTTGCTTCATTACACATTTTTCTTACATTCAAAAATGGTTCTAGAACTCCAGAAGCATGAGTACCTCTGTCATGTCCTGAGCACTCGCACATGGCCCAGCAAGCCTCCTGCCAGCAGATGGGAGGCCTTGACAAATCAAAGTTCTTCCTCTAGAAGTCCTGAGACTGAGCACTGTCAGAAGGCTGAAGGTTTGTGCGGAGTTTGTACATGTGATTGAGCGCTTGTGTGAGGAAAGCCCCACTGGTATTGATCTCCATCAAGGTCAAGTTATCCAGCTAAAACACAAGAGAAAACAGACGGCTGGTTGAAGAGTTTCTAATTTGGGGGAAAGGTAAAACCTAATGAATTAAAATAAGAAACCAATGAATAATAATTTTAAAAAACACAACTAGCAATCCCTGCTTGTGACAGCTCAAGCAGACAGTGCCACAGGAAATCCCTCCACAGCATCAGGCCTCCCCCGACCCCAAGGGGAGGCAGGCCAGGCCCGCACTTACCTCAGCATGCACCTCCTGCTGCCTCACAAATCTGTCAGCGGACACCCGGAGTTTGGCTATGCGAGTGTCCCACACATCCTTGATCAGGGTCCGGATCTCATCTGCTTTTGGGATATTGTCTGAAGCACTAAAGGAAGCAAAAGGTGAAATAAATCGCATAAGGAAGTGCTTGGTAAACTAAAGCAGTATCAACTTGGAAGTGGCTTTTTAAGAAATATGCTTGGATTCAGGCAAAATATACAAACTGTTCTAGGATAAAAATTTTTATTTTTATTATTTATGCCTACAGCACGTGGTCTTCCTAGGCAGTCTCCCATCCAAGTACTAACCAGGCCCGACCCTGCTTAGCTTCCGAGATCAGACATCGGGCTTGTACAGGGTGGCATGGCCGCAGACCATGGATCATGGCTCTACTGGGACGCAAACCCAGGACCTTCTGCATGTAAAGCAGATGTGCTAACCGCTCGCTACACTATGGAACCACGTCCTCAAAATTTCTTTGGCTGTGTTTTCGATTTTAAAATGTTAAGGATTTCTAACAGGTTAGAAAATTTAGCCATGATCCACAAAGGTACCTGTGCTCATGCTTCCTGTCCCGTGGCAGGCTACGGCACAAGGACTTGTTTCCTAAAATAATTAAGTATCTGAGAATAAGCTCTGAGTTAGACATCCTCTGTCTCTGGATAACTGAGTGTTCTGTGCTGTAGAATTTCCATGTAAGATGAATTTGTTTCAAGGCTGGTTCAGAGGTCATGACTTCTGTCACTCCTATCCCATCAGTTATCCAAGGGTTGACAACCCGCCAGGGCAAGAAGCTCACAGCTCTGTACTAGGCACTGCGTGTGGCACTACACAGTATTTCTGTCTTCACAAAAGGCCTGAGGGGTAGGTAGGTATTGTCCTACTCTACAGAGAAAACAAAAATATGTTTACAAAAATCACAGAATAAATTGCAAATTAGCACAAAATTGAGCA